GTCTGATAACCAAAGTGAAGACATATTACTGGAAGGCTGTAGCAGTAAACAGTATGCTGTGTTTTTTTTTTTTTTAAATTTAATTTTACAAGATTAAAGTGAAAAAAAAAAAAAGAACAAAGGGTTAACATAAGAATATTTGCCTATCAGGAAAGAAGACAAGAAACATGATCATTCCAAAAGAATGTATATCCAACAGAGAAAAGAAGATATACATGCAGAATGTAATGGTGATAGAATTATATGGCGTACGTGGGTACTTTTTTGGATACCCTTATAGGTATATCCTCCGAAAATCCCATTTCGACACTTGTCAAACCAGTGAGAAAAGAGCCACCAGGTCAGCCAGCCATGCCACCCTTCACGCTCGCCCGCAATTCCACTCCTACTTATCACTGCTACGATATGGTATTATTTTTCTCACTCGATTGCCTGAATTAATTGTGAAACATCTACAAAACACGAGCTGGCAAATTTGTTTAGATGGAGCTGATTTCCCTATCGTGCATGAACCATGTTTTGCCTAGGGTTTTCGTTTCATTTAATTATTCTTTTGTTTTGCATTATCAACTCTTTCTCTTTCACGTAAAAAAAAAAAAATGTATATCCACTCAATTAAGTAGTGGTATTTTCTGTTTCTTATTTTAACCTATAAAAGATTCGAAGAAACTTTTAAGCTTCACATAAATCAAAACAAACAACTACCACCATCACCAAAACCACCATAGCAATCACACAACGAAAAGATAAGCACCAAAAAACTTATGGGTGGCCTTTGGTTGTAAGCCACTGTTTATATATGTACATATGGGCCCTTTCAGGGCTTATGGTTCTCATTTTCTTTCAATTGCTCGTTTTAAAATGGAAACATTGTTTTAACCCCGCATGAGAACAATTAGTACTCTTGTGGCCACAAATGCAAGAACTTAAAATTAAGTAGTATATTATTTTTTATGCGAGGATTGACTTATTTTTTTTATGATTTTATCTTTTGAAAAAAAAATCTCAATAGAAGAAAGATAGTCTTTGTTCATAAAATCATAGCCCAGTCTTTAATTATTAGATGTGAAATTGTTTCTCCTAAAGAGTATTTAACAAGAACTTCGTACTTATAGAACAAAAACTTTCAATTAGACAATAATTAAAGGAAACCAGCTGCTCAAGGGCTGAAATTCAAAGACTTGAGGAGTCCTAATTTGAACGGATTGAAGGGAAAGAAACTGGATTAGGTTGGTGACATGGATGTCAACGACTATATATAAATGTTGCAATCAAATACATGTGGAGAACAATGAAGTTGAACACGTAGGAAAAGTGGGTGACATGAGTGGTAGACCACAAAAAATTGGTGGGGGATATATTATACAATTCTTCGCGTTGGCACGATGAGGCCGACCAATGGAAATATGTCCTCATTGACTTTTTTTTTTCTTTATAGAATTTAAGGTTTTAAATTGGTGTAGTGCGGTCCGCCTTAATATGTGACATTGTCGAGTGTTTATGTGGTGCGTTTTTCCGGTATACTTGCCTTGTCATTAGCACAGCGACAAAGATAACTCAATCTTAGCAATATTTGAGAGAGAGAGAGAGAGAGAGAGAGAGAGAGAGAGAGAGAGAGAAGCACAATGAACAAGTTACCAAAGAGAGAGCTCAACCGGATAAGAAAAGGTGATGAGAGTTTCTTATTCGTCATCAATTTTTTGGGGCTATGGCTTTTGTTTTTTGCCGATGGATGGTTGGTTCATGGGTGGACCTTGGTCGACGGAGTGGTTGGGTTAGACGTCTTGGTTGTGTTTTATTATAAAAAGGGTTAAAGCTAAATCCTTTCCTCGTCGATGATGATGAGAGATGATATATATCAATTCACCCAACAAAACCTAAGTTATTGTCCATATGAGTAATACTATTATTTTTGTTTGATTTTCGATTGTTTCATTTCATCACCAGCAAATGCTATTTAAACACAACCAATAATAATTTTATGAATATATATTTTTTATATTTATAATTAATCAAACAATCAAATATTTTCCTTTTTTTTTTTGTTCTCCTAATTTGTTTATTTTCATACGTGCAATTGCATTATCATCGTTATCATCATGATCGTATTAGCTATCGCCTTCTTGCCTAGTGTTGGAGCTTCATCATCTTCCAAAAGTTTTGGGAGTATGAGATGAGAGTGGGTGAAGGCCCCCTCGTCTCTCTTTCTCCCAAATATCAAGTGGAGACAAATCAAAATCAACAGATTAATTTCACAATAACCACGTATGAAAGACCAAGATCATTAATTGGATGGATGGGGCAATTTCCTTTTTTCCTGTTTGAGGTCACATATCATATCCCTTGTAAGAGGACAAAAATAGCATTAAGTGGATCGTTTCTCCTTTTTGAGTGGAATAAAAAATAATAGAACAAATTAAAACAAAGAACAAGTTCACTCCATATATTCAAGACGATGTTGAAAATTATATATCTGTTAAATTAATTTTTCAGATTTTTTATTCACAAAATTTTTTTTTTTTTTATTTTTTGTTTCATTAGGTACATAAAATTTTAGAGTAAAGATAGAGGTTTAAAACTGAACATGTGTATGATTATGATTTATATCAGATTATGATTTTTTTTTTTTGGTTAGAAAACGTTAATTAAAATGTTCTATATTTCCAAATGGGAGTAGGTGGAGCTTGAAGGAAAAATTAGAAAGAAAGAGTAATTATAGCACATTCAGATTCTTTAAAATATCTACTTCTGATGGGTTGGGTTGAATAAACCAACCACAGTGATCACTAGAAGAAGGAAGGGCCACCAAATTTTTTATGCTGACATCCTCCATAAATTTAGGAACAGTTTCTATTCAAGCAGCTAAAGGGTTTTGACTTCTTCTTTTCCTCTTTTACTTTGGTAATAACTCCTTGCCACACGCAATTGGATTAGTTATTGACATTTATTTTACTTAGTTTGTGGAATCTCAAAAGGATATGGCATTGAATTTAACAATGAAAATAGAAACAGATATTCAACTCTGCTCAGCCATCTCGAAACCCTTTGATGATTAAACCAATTGAAATATATATTATAGGTATTGGGTTTGTTTTTGTTCCTTTTGGGTGTAGAGTAATCTCCGGAAGCTGCACCAGTCGTGCTGTGTTGAAAATCATAAAAGTGAATTATGATCGTCAAAGATTTGCAGTACAAAAATTTCCGAATCCCTGCCTAGCAAACTAAAGGAGACGTCTTTATATCAATTAAGCATCTTTTTTAGCGAACATAAATGATTTTTTTTTCATGTGACAGTAAAAAGAAAATTGGGAGACATGCTGATTGCCTAAAGATTTTGCTTACTTGTGGAGAGATATGGTGAGAGAATATGTGCGTAAAGGAAGGTCCCTAAGGTTCTCAAAGCACATGATGTTAAGGCACAATGATGCATATGCAATGTTTGAAGATTTCTGCATCCCCGTCTTAAGAATAAAAGAAAGAAAAAAAAAAAGGACCTCAATGTATGGATACCCAAACTCCACTATGGGATATTGTCCCTCTCTTTTACACTAAGTTTGGTAAAAATGAAAAAATAAAATGAAAAGAATGAATAAAATGTGAGGGAAGAAAAAAAAAAATGGACACAAGGAAGTTTACAGTGTGACAATTTTCTCAAAGTAGAAAGGGTAAGAACTGTGAGGTCATTTTTTAAGTGAAATTGTCTGTCGCATGACATGAAGAAGAAACCTCATAAATCATGATCTTCATCAGGCATTCAGGAATGGCTTGGAAAGAAGTTTTAACTGATTGGAATCTGAGTAAATTTGGGGAAGCAGCAGCTACCCGAGCACATGGATGATCATGTGAAATGAGGTCAGTTGCATGTTGCCTTCGTGGGTCCGAAACTTGACAGTTACATGGCATTCGTACTCCAATCGTACCCCCCCCTCCCAACTTGCTCCTCTTCCACACTGTAAATTAACTACCATACCCCCCCTTGCCAGCCTTATTCATTCACCATTCAACTACAATTACCGGAATAATAGTCTTTTTTTTTTCAGCGATCAGCATTACACAGTAATCTAGCATTCGGCATCCCCGCTTTAACTCTTCCAAGTTCCAACCATCTATAACCAGCCATTTGACAATTGATGGAATAATATATATGAGTAGAAGGACTATGAACTCTTTGAAATATTATTAATGTTTGGTTATATTATATCGAAGAAGAAGTATGTATGAGACCATATTTATAATACAAACATAAAACCTTATTATCCGTGCGTGTGTACGTGAGTTTCATTGATTTCTATTAAAATCAAAAGGCAAATGCAGCTGTGTTCTACAGTGACAGAGCAAAGTAAGTTTTGAGTTTCCTGTGGGCACTTTTATTCCAATATATATCTCTAACTATCCAAAAAGGATGATGCTATATCTTGCCCTACGTGCTACTGAAACCATTCACGTTCGTTGCAATAAAGCTATGTTCAATGCCATCTCCATGTTTGTCACCGGGCCATACGTATTCGCATAAAAAAAGCATCGTCTTCTTTATTAATTTTAAGTTAATGTCTTCTAGATTTGACCTATCTTAGAGTTTAAAAGCTAAAACATCCCTTAAAACAAATGGGAAAACAATTTTATGGTAACTATTTCGCAAAGCAAGTACACATTTGTACCATATATTTGGACGTTGATAGAAAATTTTTTTTCCCATCTCGTATTTCCTTTTCTTCAATGATGGCCCACGAAAATGAGCCCTATGAAAGCGATGAGAACATAAATTAGATGAAACACGTCAACAGATACTGCTTGGGACCAGCCAATTCACTATGCTTGGTGGTTGGAGAATTAGGCCAATCCTCGATTGATGTCCCTATGTTTTAATTCAGAAAGATGTCGTTTGTTTGTGTAAATTTTGCTTAATTGAGAATGCAATGCCATAACTAAAGTATTGGATTGGAAATTGGAAAGAAAAACAAGACAGACAAAGGAAGGGAGAGATATTGATAGTACGGTAATCTCAAACTTTTAATTACTTAAAATTAGAAATAAAAATTAAAGGGAGAAAAATGGGAAATTAGGGAATCCAAAATAGTAATAGTAATTCTCTCTGGGGTTGAGAAAAATCTTCCAACTTATAGCTTTTAAGTAAACACCAAGAATGGCTCCCAATTAAGCAAGCCTTTGTGCTCACGCCTATTTTCTTTGCAGCTGCTTGGCCTAGGCAACTTCCCTGTCCCAATTTCACCCCCGACATTCCCACTATTTCCTTCCATATTCTCAGCTGCTCGATAACACTCTTCTTCAACTTCTCCTTCTACTCCATTTTCTTCATAATAAACTACTTCACCATGTTCATCTTCCTCTGCTACCTCTTCATGGTCGTCTTCCTCTTCACCGTCTTCGTTGTCGAATATTAGGGTAGTATCCTTCGAAAGGGAAAGCCTAAGCCTCCCCTCGCTTCTTTCTGCATGGAAGCAACTATGACAAGGAGGGATAGCAACGGCTTGAAGAACTAGGCGGCCGCCTTCTCGGTGAGATTTGACTTGAATGCCATTGGAACCACTAATGGATGTCAACGGAGGAGGAAAGCTGCTGCTACGACTCATTTTTCTTGTCACCAAACTTTCCCTTGGTTTTGATGGATTGCAAACCACAGCTTCTAATGAAAGCAAGGAAATGTCATCGCTGCTCTCGCTAACTTCACTTCCAGTTTCACTACCTAAGCTTTCGGTGCACATTTGAAGACTTTTTTCACTTAGCGTAGAAGCTGAACTCTTAACAAGAGGGTCCAAATAAACTTTGTCATGCTCGGTAGAATCTTTGGAATTGGCGAGCGCCTGGAGGAAACTCCAGCCACCCATGTCAATATTTTGATTGCCTATCAGTTTGCAATCATTCCCGTTGTTCTTATTGTTGCTGATGGTGGTATTTTTTTCTTGATTATGGGGCATAGGCTTGGGCTCGGTAGGGGAAGGGTTATTGAAACAGGGCGTAGAAACAGTGGAGCCAGGAAAATTCGTTTTTGGTGGAGCCAGTTTCAGCCACAAAAAACGTGGTTCGACGAGCCTTGGCTCGAGGCATGATTGGAACCCATGACATACACTTGAGGACATTTTCTTATCCACCATAAAATGTTGGGAAAAACAGAGGAAACAGGGGAGTAACAGGGTAGCTCAAATGAAAGGAAAAAAATAGTTTTCCTCACCTCTTTTTGGAGTTTTCTGAGATCAAACGGGAGGTGGGGATTGAAATGAAAGAGAAAGCTACCTAAAAAAAAAAAAAAACCTTGTATTTGGTTTTTGGTTGTAAATGAAGATGGGTGGCTTTGGGGAGGGAGAGAAAGAGGTAAGAAACAAAGCAGTGAAGATGAAATGAAAATGAAAGGGTTAGGGGATGATTTATAGTAGGAGAACTCAGAGTCTCAGACACAGAGGAGAGGTGATGGCCTTTTACGCGCACTAAAACTTCTACCGACTTTTTACTCTACCACACATTCCACAGCAAAAAACCGAATACATAAGAGAAAAAGTAGATAAAATTGGAGTAAACTTTTATGGAAACATGGCAAAGACATCTTTGCTATTAGAAATGATCATAAAGCTTAACCTCTTGCTTTAGGATTCAAAACACAACAAAGTAAATAGTTGCAAAACTACCCAAACCCAAATTCCTACTGATTTATATGCTAATGATTTTATCTTTAAAATTTTATTTCAACCGAAAAAAGTTATTATGAGATGTGGGTTTTCTTTTTCTATTTAAAGGAAACCAAACGTAGCAGACAGGGAGAAAAGGACTGGTTCTTCTTTTACAGTTGTCCCCATTGCCTGAGTTTGTATTAGGCTTTGTCTATATATTTTTTGAGTTTATATTTAATGAAATATCAGTTTATAGATTTTATTCTGTAAGTAAATCGAACGATACTAACACATTAATAAATAATTTTTTTTTAAAAATTATTTTTTATATATTTATTTTAAATAATATTTATTTATTATTAAATAAATTATTTAATTAATTGATAATATATAAAATATACATACGGATAATGCATCAAATATAAATTCATCATTTTTCATTTATGTCATGCACTCTCAATTCTGGTGAAACAAACCAAACATCCTTTGCATTCAAGTGAAAGGACAGCAAACCTTCAATTCTCTGCTCTTCTATGACTAACCCTTGATTCACAAATGAAAGTGATATGTTAGTTTGCATGCACTTCATGATAATTGTGGGTATATGCACTCACACTCACACTCTCACTCTTTTTTTTTTTTTTGAACTCTTTTTTCGCCTATCAATCTTTTTAGATTGGAAACAAAATGATTTTAATTTGGAAGGTTTAAGTTAGATTAATTGAAGTTATTTGCATTTCATGCGGTGAAAAGGACACCAAGAAAAAACAAAATTAATAATGAGAATGCCCTCCTTTTCCCAGTTCCCACTCAACAAATTTGCAGATATTTTTGTTTATTTGAAGGATTAGAAAATGTTGAGTGATGTTTGCAAAATTCTATTTTTATTGGATTGGATGCTAGAAAAAGACCAATGAAGATCTTCTTAAGTGTGATTAACAGAAATGATGTGTAAAACAACTGTCCAAATGAGAAACATCACCTTTCAAACCACACTTCAAATTAATAATATATTAAAGTAACATCACCTTGTTTTTTCTTATCTGACCTTTATAATGAACAAATATTATATTTTATTTGTCAAGTAAATGCCAAAAACAGTAAGGACTGGTTTGTTTGCTTTAAGATATTAGTAAAATTTTCTCTTCCTACAAATTATTTCAAAATCCTTGACATAAGTAAAAAAAAAAAAAAAAAAACAAGAAAGAACCCTTTCTCACTAACCACCATGTTGCTTTGGCTGTTGAGGAGTATTTTCTTTAAATATGCTCCATTTATAAGCTTAAACCCACATTGTTATTAAGAATCATGGGAAATGTTTGACAAATAAGTGCATAAAGGGGAAAATAATGGTAGAAGGAGCTTGAAACTGGCTGTTTCTCAATAGAGTTATCTGCCAAGAACTTGAAACAGGCAAGGAATGCTTGTTAATTTAGACATCAAGAAAAGATTCTTAGTCTCTTTTCATGCTTAATTAAAAATGGAAGGATGGAGATCCGGAAACAAATATTATAATCGCTTTTTTTTTTTCCTCATTAAGATGGAAAGTTTTTAACCACAATTATTGGAGCACACCCAAAACCAAAATAGGATATTAATTATTGGCATCCACATGTTATTATAAAATTACAAAAATACTAACATCAAAACGATGATTGAGCGGGGATGAGAAAAATTTTGAAAAATTGAAAATTGATTTTAAATCGTAAATTTTGGTTTGATTTGATTTTTTTTTTAATTTTGTTTGGATTAAGTTTATATATTAAATATATATATTAAATTTGAATCAAATTTTGAATTAAAAAATAAAAACAAATTGAATTATATATTTTTATTAATTTATATATTTTAAATTTTTATAAAATAAAAGTAATAATTTTAAATCAAAATTTATTTATATATATAAATTTTATATTAAATTAATATATAAAAAATTTTAAATTTAAAAAATCGATAAATTATTACCGAATTAGTAAAATTTAATTTGATTTGAATCAAATCGTATCAATGATCGATTTAAATTTAAATCAAATTTTAAAAATTTATAATATTATGTAATATTTAAAAAATCAAATTAAATTTAATCCGAACTTTTATAATTGAGATCGACTCAGTTACCAATTAAATGTTTAGAAGTACTTCAAAGTCAAAAAGCATGCGATTAGACGTTCAATTGGAATCTCAAAGTTCTAGTAACAACTCTAAGGCTATTGTTGTCTCCAAAGGCAGGGGGGTCGATAATTTCTTAGTAATTAGCAATGGAAAGCATGCAAGATTTGTGGAAGGATATTTATATGGGTATTGTAAACTATTACAGGTCACCTAAACTAAAACATATGCCTGGCTCTATGATCGATGCTGTAGAATATGAATTTAATGGAGAAATTAAGGCGTATGCCCATTGTAGCAGTTTAAAAATAGTCCATCCACCATTGAAAGACATGCAAGTACCTAATTGGAAGAAGAGAAGAGACGCTTTTCTAATAATGGTGGTTGCAACTCTCCTCTAATTTGTTGTGTTTGGCCCTCGTATTTATCCATGAATTGGTAAAACCCTCGATCTTTGTTGCACCAATAATCATCGATTGTGCAATATAGTTCATTCATGCTAGCTGTTCACTGATAAGAAAACAATAGATTTGCTATGCTCAAATATCAGTAGACATGATGAATTACAATTTGTATCTCGTTTCTTTTGTTCTAATTAACCACCCAATTCCGAAAAAAAAAGGTAGTTAATTCAAAATATCATCCTCATCTAGCCAAGCAATTTGTGCTGATAGTATCTGCTACATCATGGATTGTGGTACCATTTATCCTTTTCTTCCCTGTAACCTATTGCCTTTTCAATTTATTGTTGTATATATGTAAGTATTAACTTTTGAAAAGAAAAAAACTTTTAATTCTAATTTTATCACTCATGTCGATTTTAAATTTTATTTAATCATTCTTAATGTGTAAAAATATTGTGAATTTAATTTAAACCAACTTATTTAAGTGTAATCCTTTTGCTTCTTTTTTTTTTTTTCCTCCAAATTAATCATTATAAGAATGAAATTGAACCAAAAGGAAGTCAAAATTAGCTGCATGTCAGGGTACCAATTTGAAGCAATCAAAAGATGATACTAAATTAACCAGACAGGCAAGCAGGAAATGTACGAATGAGATCGTGACCATCAAAATTTTCCCGTTTTCTCCGCGTTCTCCTCAGGCATTTGTTCATTCATGTTGTGTAAAAGTTTGTTCGAGGGAGGCAAACATGGAAGGGCAGCTGATACCTGACCAAAGTTCCAAGACAAGCAATAAAAAACTTTATAAAAAGTGTATGCAATACATTGATTCCCCGATTAACCAACTCAATCCTTTTAAAAGCCTCATGTATGCATTTAGGAAAGCATTGATATGATGGTGATTAGAATTATCGTTTTGTGACAGTTATGACTTCCAAATGAGAGACATAATATCTTTATTTTGGAAAAAATCTGAACATTTGATTCGGTAATTAAAAGAACTAATTATCATTGTCTTTAGAATATATAATTATTCGGAAGCATATTTGGATCTCCAAAGATTTTGTCCAAGGTCTCAATCTGAATTCCTCTTTTTCTCTTTTATCAAGAGAAGTGGAAGGGAAGGACTGTAGAGTTGCTTAGGCATTCTTGGTGGTTCTAGGCTACAGCTCTAGGATAGTTTTAATTTGGTTTTAGGGATGGCTGGCAAGAATATGTGCCAATTACACTTACTCTTTGCCCTAACCATCGAATTTGCTTTCAAAATCTCCCATTTTTTTTTAACTTCTGTTTCTTTTCTTTTTACGTTAGCCAACCAACGAAAAAGAGAGAGTCTTAAATACTGAAGGAAAAGGTCCTCTTTGCATGGTCGTGCCCCCATTGGCCATTGGTCACAATTGAAAATACCACAAAGTTACGTCTGTTTCTTTCCCTCTTTGAAGTCCATGTACGTTTGTTTATTTGTCCCCTTCACACTTCAAACATGAATACCAAGAAAGATAATGGAATCAAATTCATTTGATGGCTTACGCAACTATTTCAGCACCCTTTTTTCTTCCATATTTGACGTTTTTAAATTCATACATATTTTCAAATTTTATTTGTTTAATTTTCTTTCCGAAGGTGATTTTAATCCTTAAATGCATACTCTTTTACATTTGTTTAGTGCATTCAAGATTTTACTTTTAAAATTATTTTTTATAAAGAGCAAACACTGGTTGACATAAAAAAATTTTTTTTTCTTACTAACTGAATTAATCTTTTAAATAATTTTTTAAAGTTTGTAAACCGATTAAATTAAAGTTAAAACCAGGTAAACAAGCACTCAGATTAATTATATTTTGTAAAGATTAAACCTTCAGACTTTACTTTTAAAATTTATTTTTTATAAAGATCAAACACTGATTGATATAAAAAAAAACTGTTTTCTTAACAGCTGAACTAATCTTTTAAATAAATTTTTAAAGTAAGCCAGCCAATTAAATTAAAGTTAAAACCAGGTAAACATGCCCTTAGATTAATTAATGGCTAAAGCATTGTCTCGTCAACTTACCAAAAATTAAAGACAACTTTATGGATGGCACGTAGAAATCATAGTTGACCCAATGAGCTGGAATCCCAACCGGCACTCACTATTATTAATTATACTAATACTAATATATTACATTATTTGTCTTAATCATGTTTTTTATTTTATATATAATTTTTACTCTAATAATAATTAGTATCTCAACAGGTTGATGTTGAGAGTTGCCGGTTGCCAGTTGCCACTTATGGTAATACTAATTTCAGATTTCACGGATGGATGTCAATATTTTAATATTAACTCACAAAGTCAGAGGAAAGACTTTCACAGGTCAAAAAAGAAAAAAGAAAAAAAAAGAGACAAAAGGAATAATCTTTAATCAAATTCTGGTTGAAAGATAGAAAATTTACCTGGAAGATGCACCATTCTTTTACTTAAAACCTCTCATCCAATAAAAAATGTAGCAGCAACAGCAGCATAAGATGCTTTACCTGCAACACTGCTTACAAGTAGTGATAGCAACTGATCAAATCAAAATAAATTTTTATTTATCTTAAATTTGATCTGATTTTATATATATATATATATAATCTAAATTTGATTTGATAATTTTTTTTATTTTTTTATATCAAAATTTGATTTAATATTATATAAAATCATATCTGATCCGATTTTATCTAAAATTAATAAAATATTATTTTTTAATATAAATATAAAATTAAATATATAAATATATGTAAATAAATATATAATTAAATATATAATTAAAAAATAATTTTTTATATATATCTGATCAAATAAAATCGAATACGCTTAAAACTTAATCCCGATCCGATCTCAAATTTTTTTAATATAAATATAAAATTAAATAAATAATTAAAAAATAAATTTTTACAATATATTTGATCAAATAAAATTAAATACGTCTAAAACTTAATCTCGATCCGATCTCAAATTTTTTTTTATATTATTCAATCCAACCCGATATACGATTTAAAAAAAAAAATTTGACTCTAAAAGATCAAATAAAAATCTGTCAGATTCAAGTTAAATTGCCTTCTCTACTTTCAAGCTACGTCTGCAGCCGCATACAATTAACACCTGCTGGCTGGCCAGTTCATGATGTTGGAAATTTATTGAAAATTTCTTGTTCATTAATACACTTGACCCCAAGAACTAAGGGGACCCCTCGCCTCCTTTACAAAAGGAAAGAAGAATGCCCGGAACAAATCTACCCATGAAATCGGATGTCATAACACATGGAGGTTCTGAATTTCGACTTGTAGCGTTTGAAGCGTTTCCCTCACATTTGATAGTTCATCTTTTATCTCTAGAAGTTTGTCCAATCTATTTCGTGCCGCATCTCGATAAGGCTCCCCAATTATTGTCACAAACTTTTCCAAATTCTCAGTAGTTTCTTGAAGATCCTTTTGCATTGCATCTTCAAGCTCTCGTCCTAATGCATCAGCTGTCTTTTTCACCTTTTCTATCATTTCTTGTCTACGGCCTGGGAAAGTTGAAATGGCTATAAACCTATCATGAAAGTTTTTAATCAATTAACTGATTGAACGAATTATTTATTAATGTCAAAAGAATGTAAAATCCAACAACATACAGAACGAAATCTTGCAACCAAGTTATTATAGTTGACATAGGAAAGAACCGGAAAGAAAGTAACAGCCAATACTTTCAAGAACGAAATCTAGCGACCCAGTTAATAGGTCACGTAGGAAATAAAGGCAAACAGGTCTAATACAGTAGAGACCTCTCAAGTCACACAGATTACCAATTTTTTAAGGAAAACTTAGACATGCAGCCTGAAGAATACTATTAAATCAAGAAGAAATAAGTACAAGTTCAAGAAGATACATACCCCCCAGCAGAACATAGGCCTAGTGCAAGAAAATCTTCTAAAGTGGTAGGTAATATAAACATTAGAAGTGAAGCAGACAAACCAGCCGCTCCAAGTCCGCCAAAAGTCCCCATGAACTAAGGTTAAAGAATAACATTTCAATACAGGTCAATTGAATCATATCAAAAAGAATATTTAAAAATAAAAATTTAAAATAAGGAAATTAAACAACTATAGCAACAATTAAAGAGCAGACACTTTAAAGAGTTACGAACAACTTTCAATTATGAACAACTGTCACTATAATCTTACTGGTAACCCAAAAATTACATAAATAAAGACCAGTTCATTTTTGTCATAAAATGCAAAAATGAACTTTTCAGGATAAAACAGGACCACACAGTAGCCCAAACAAGAAAACTAGGCCGCCTGGAGTTTTTCTAGGGACAGTAAACAATCATTCTTAGTAAAAGTTGCTTCAAACTTTTTTTTTTTTTCTTTCCTAAACATCCTAGTATGATAAATAATGATACACTGACAATGATGACTATCATCAAAACCAAGCAAAAGGCAGAAAGAGGAGAAATACAGTTCTTTATAATATGCCTGCATGCCACCCTTCCAATATTAATATTGTTAGAGTTTTTCTGTCAAATAAATCGCAGACATCATAGAGATTACTGCCCTGCTACCAATATCTTGCTTTATTAGTTTGGACAAGTTTTATTTATTTTGAGGAATTCTTCTCACCGCTTCGCGAACTTTGCGTTCATATAGTTTGGAAGCAGCACTGGCACTGAATTTCTCTATCACTCTCAAGCTGAGTTGATCCAACTTTCTCAACAGTTCATAGGTCTCTAGAGGATACTGTTTGTCTGAGTAGGCAAGGGATGGCCATCTTTTCTCAAAAGATTCCTTATAAAGCCTTCCTTCACAAGCATTATTTGATTGTAACCATGTCACATAATCTCCAAGCAAGTTCTGTATACAATGACATACCATAAATCAGGAGTCATAAGAAAGTTAATTGGCAGCTGCTAAATTATGGCTCCTATAACTTGACACTATAAATAGACATCTGATTTCCATACAACCTAGATCATGAAGAGGTCTGAGCCATTAACTCACTTGTGCATCAATGAGTGCAGGACCAAGTATGTCATTTTGAACCCTTGAAGTGGCTGGCATTGTGGCTGACGATCCCCCCTTGAGAATATATGAGGCAACAATATCAAGATTTGATAACTGTAGGGTAGATTCTATGAGCTCCAGAATACATAATTTTGTAGCATCAATCTGCCATACCACACCCAAGAATAAACCATATAGATAAAGACAAGATTATGTAAGAAACAAAGTCACCTACTTGCCTCTGACTCAAAAAGTTAGTAATTCTAAAATTATACCATTGACAAAGTTCGTCTTCTCCAAGAGATGCTTTCATTTCCCATCTTTGTTACATACTCTTTCACGCTATCAACAATTTCATTTGCAGAAGTCAAGTCCTGCTCTGCAGACTGGCAGTCTTTTCTATTAAGAGTTTCACAGGAAGAAGGTATTCGCTCTGCAATTGCAATTGGTGTTCCAAGTTTGAGCTTCATTCTCTCCATTCCTGTACTAGTTGATCCATCTAAAAAACTATACAAGAAGTTTTCAAGCTTGTAAAAGCTACTGGTTTTCCAATTTGAACCAAATCCTGATAGTTCTCTATATTCTTTTCCCACACCAGAAGTAGCTGAAAGCTTTTCTTCAAGAACAGATCGTGCAGACACCGGATATAATGTCACATCTTCCGTGTTTAGCAACTTTTGAGTATTCTCTTTGATGAATAATATTGCCTCCTCTAGCTGCAATAAACAAATATAACTAATAAAATACTCAAAAAGTGTCTTAGTAGGTCAACATATATGAACTGACTTGATAGCGGCATCAATAATCAGTGGGAGGTGAAAATTAAACCTCTTGGGCATTCTGATAAAGATCAGCTTTGTTCAACACAAACACAACTTTCTTCTTCCACTGCTGAGCATAACGAAGAAAAGCAACCTGACAAAGAACAGCATGTGCAAAAGGAATTCAACCTACATTGGATCAACTCACAAAATCATGAATTGAACCATTTTAGTTGGCTAATGTTTATTAACTTTCTGAAATTAAAAAAGATTAATGTGAACAAGAAAAAAAAAAGATTGATATTCGTAAAGCCGAATCAAAAGCATCTATGGGCAACATGACATTTCCCAAACAATCTTAGTAATTCATAGGCTATTCTTTGATATCTCAACTAGCGTTATGCCTTTGCTTGATGAACCTTTGGATTCATTTCCTAATAATTTCAAAGAAAGAGAGAGTTAAAGTGTCCAAAAAATATTCCCTAGAGGTCAAATGAAAATACCCTTGATAGAACTTCAAAATGATAGAACACCTTTTTGTATGGCATTATCATATCATGGAAAAACTTATCTAGTTCCATATAGTATTAAATACCGTGTTCCTACATGACAAGCAGCATTGAGTACAGAACTCAATGCCAACATAGTTTTGATTTATTGTCTCACAAAAGCAATGGAGATAAATAAAAAGACATACTATGACAAATTACATGCACGACTAATCATACCTCACTCTCAGTTAATGGGCGATCAGCAGAAATAACAAAAAACAGCAAATTGGCAGGAGGCACAAATTCCTCTGTCAGGCATTGTTGCCTTTGAAGAATAACATTTGTCCCTGGTGTATCAACAATATTCATCTGTTCTCAAAAGGAATTATTAAAAATTAGTTCATGTGATAAAATATAACGGCATACAGATCTATTTCCAGGAAAGCAAATAAAATAAAGAAAACAGGCAACAGAAAGAAGCTAATCAGCTATCAGGCAACATTAAATATAATGCCTTTTTCTCATTGATGCTCATGTAACATGCTCAACCTATTTTCAGTACACATCTCAAGTTTTCATTTGTAAGTTGGATTGCAAGCTCACTTTTAAGAACCTAGCCTTAGAAAAATTGTGCCTGATTTTCTTTTATTAAGTAAGTAAAAATGCGAGTGATTCATTCCCCATATAATAACTAAATATAGAATCTTCATGAAGTTATTCACAATTAAAATTGCATGTCACATTCAAGAATCATGCAGAACTCATAAAAACAGATTCTGGAACTTTAGAAGGTTAACAATTATAACATATAGAGAAGAGTTTATTTCAGCAGCAACATAAAGGAACATGAAGAACACACACACGGAGGAAAGGATCAAAATTTTGAAGAATCAACTAACAACTATCTGCATGAAATGTATGCTTCTAAACTAACAAACATTTAGTATGCTTGTATGCATATGAATGCAGATGTACAGGAATTATTATTAATAGGTACAGAGAAACCAACCACTGACATAGCCAGAGGATCTCTGAACTTAAATTCAGGAGTACAAAAACAGAAAAAGCCAAAAGGACTCACTTCCTTGAGAATCGGAGCAGGAAGATAACGTATTAATTGACCATCTGGGTGCCTTTCACAACGCTGCAGGTCCTTGCCATCCAATTCAGTATAGCGCAAGAAAGTGATTTCATTAGTCGTAGGAACAACCCCCTCTTTGAGGTATCTTTCCCCAAGAAGAGCATTAATGACAGTGGATTTACCAGAATTAAACTCACCCTGAGAATCCAAAACAAAGATGAATAAGTCATGGCAAAGCCAAAACCTTTAACAGGATTAAGCAAAACTCTATGGCATAAATGAATGAACAATTTCCATACAATGTTTAATTCCTCTCGGCAGAACATATTTATTTTATTGATTTAATATAAGGTCAATGTCTTAGAGATGGAAAATATACTGCACAATCTTAAAATTATGATTAGGGAACATTCATAACGAAACAGTAAGAAAGATAAAATCTAAGCACAAATACTATGAAAATACACAATTAATCAATTAATTCAAATCGATATCATCTGAAATGAAACAAAGCTAATAGAAGATTCTAAGATAATTGAGTAGGGATATTCCGTGAAATGTGACAGAAAACTAGTATTACTGTTTTATCACTAAAACAGCAAGAAGATAAAACTAAATAAGAATTAAACTCAAATACTCAACAAAGACAACGGTAACACCTTAAAAAACCCACAATTATAAACCATTGGATAGTGAGGCTGATGTGATGGCTTTCTGAAAAAAAATAAAAAAATAAAAAGACAGGAGCTTAGAAGAAAGGGAAAACAAAGTTAACAGAGTTGAATCCTAGTGATCATGTGAGATTCCATTGAATCTAAATGCCTATGAGATATGAATCCATTTCCTGAAGCCACTGCGATAACAGATGAGATATGTGAGGTAGCATATCGACCGAGATTGAAGACAAAAACATAAGCATTCCCTAATTTAATATTCCTTAAATCAAATGTGAAAAGAAGATAAATAGTCATTGTATCATTATATGTTTTCAAATAAAGAGATAGGCATTCGTTTGAAATTTAGAGCTAATACCAATGTATATCCCTGCTACCAGAATTTGTTGAAGTTCAGCACACAATTACCACTATAGCCAGTAGAAAGGGCTCATCAATTTGAGCAACAGCATCAATAAGAAGTGAAATCTCCTCCATCTGTCATTTAAAACCCATAAAGATTCGACCAAAAAAAGTAAATAACAAAACAACTGCTAATCTCATAACCATATGGAATACAACTTCAACTACCAAAACTTAATAAAAAGATCACCAGTCGCTTCTATTAACACTGATCGCTCCTTCTCGATAAGTTGTTGTTCTCTATCCTCCACTTTAATAAAGCCAGCCATACCCATTTTCTGGCGGGAATCATGTTTGATATTCGCCATATTTAGTTCATCAATGCTCTCATCCTGAGGTTTGTTATTTGTTGTAGATATAATGTTAACCAACTGGCTCAGAACATCATCAGTAAACAACTTCAAATCTTCCAATGACAAAACTAAACCACTAGCACCTGATTTGAGAATTTTCGATGCCTCAGATGTAACTGCTAGTGAACTATTATTTACAATAAAGACTGGTATCTTCACATTCTCATAAACAGACTTCAATGCCATTTCGATATGCTCTTCTTCACCCAGATCATATATAAGAAAATCAACACCTTCAGAACTCGAAGCATTTAAAGCAGCGTTTGCAGTTTGCACAGTCCTAGCAACCAAAGGGAGAAAGACTGAATCTGATTTCGAATCCATCATTGTGTTTCTTGCAACGATGGCAGGAAGGCCTGCAAAGGAAGGATTTACGGTTAACAATTACAACGATGTTGGATATAGATATCAATGCATTTGACATGAGTGACAACTTTAACAGCATTAAATGTTGGGTCGATTAAATTTTGAAAACAGCGCATGACAGTTCACTACTTTGATAAGTTTTTCAAAAGAATCAAATTTCCATTATCCTTGGCCATTCTTACTTAAATAGTCTAACAATAAAAAGAAAATGACCTTGAATAAGCAAACTTTCGAAGAAAAAGAAAAGGCAAAAACCACCTTGACCAGAGAGGACCACGCCACTAGCATCGACAGCGGCGGCAATATCAACGCGCTCTGCGATCAAGAAATAAGCGAGGTCTTTAACGACCGCCTTTAAAGAACGGGCAGCTTCGTAAACCCAACCGCCGCTTCCTTCGCCGCCATTGAGCACTACAAGACCAACCCATTTGGACACGGCCTTGTCAATGAAATCAAGCGCATTGTCGTCAGCCAATACTTCCTCGGGGTCCAACTGGAGAACAAGATTTGGGACCTTGATCTCGGGGCGCTTGTAGCCGCCAGGGAATAGAGTTCTGGGAGGCAGCTGGTTTTGAGGGCCTTGGGGACCAAGTTGTTGGGATGTCGAGTTGAAAGGGTTGTTGGAATGGGGTGATTTTGTTGGAGGAAGAAAGTGGCGGAGAGGGGATTTGGAGAAGCTAGAGGACAAATGAGGGGATTGGGTGAAGAGGAAAAGAGGCGTAGGGGTAAAGGCAGGGGACTGGAGGGAAAGTAAAGGGATCATGGAAATTGCAAAAGAAAAAGAGGAAATTTTTGTGGGTTCCTGACTCGTTAGTACGTTTTTGCTTATGGAGGAAAAGGAGAAGGATTTGAATCGGTGACTGTTGAGAGATACGTTATCTTCTTATCCTTTGTCCCTTGAGAGGAAAAGGAAAGGAGTGATGGGAGATGCCGATGAACCCCGTCTCCCTAAGTGAATCCGCCTCTCCTTTAGGCCCTTACAATGTCATTTACGAATTAGCTCGTTACAAATGTCAACATGTCCTGGGGGTCTATATCACGCAGAATGTCAAAGAGTCAAAGATAAGCTATCAACGGACGAGATGCCAAGAAGCGGTGAAGGCAGATTATGACTGAGTCTAAAATAAATCTTAAACCGCAGTTACTTACCTTTATCTCGTCCAGAGAACTGCGTTGATGTGACTTCCCTATTTAGTTCTCACCAATAGTTCACTGCCAGGCCTGACGTCAACCCCTTTGTGAAAGGAAAAATGGGTATTTGGCCCCTTGCTCAAAAGCTTCAAGGAAAGGCTCCTAGGGCCACGGTAAACGAAAACTCACTTCCAATTTGCTACTCTTGAAATAACAGTTATAGTTCAGGGAAGCTACCATGATTTAGTTGTAATGTAGCTAAAATAATTAGTAACAGATGGAAAACAATGTTATCTCCTCTAATGCAATGGTGGCTTGAGGGGGAAAAAAGAAAATGAGTTATCTATTAGAATTTATTTTGAATCTCATGATCTTTCATTGAAAGTTAGTAAATTTTTTGAGTTTATCTTGTCTCTAACGTCAAGAGTTTAATAAAAGTATAATGAGTTTCACTCTTATAAATAAAATATTTTAGTTTTGGTTTGATAATCTCAGATAATTAGACATAAAAAAAATAGTTAGATAAGTAAGCTATTAAAATTGTATAATTAAGTTTTTGGTTAAATTTTGAGTAAGTAATTTTTGAAGATTTTTCTCATTCTAAAAGTCTCACAATTATAAAAATTTATTTGATAATGAATTAGATTTGGAATATGCTATTTTGAGTTAGACCAAAACAAATATATTTGTGTATTTTTATTATTGATTTGAGCTTGTTATTTTATGTGTGGGTTCTACGTGTACGTGTTGATTTTTTTAACAAGTAGTATTAGAGCATTTTGATAGTGGATTAGGTTTGGAGTAGGATATTTTGAGTTAAACAGAAATAAATATATTTGTGTATTTTTATTATTGATTTGAGGTTATTATTTTATGTGTGGGTTCTGTGTGTGCGTGTTGATTTTTCTAACAAGTGGTATTAAAGCATGGTTCAAGACGTGAAAAGAGATAGAAGTTCGAGACATGAGAAGAGGCAAGCTTAGAGGAGCTCGATTAAATGAAAAAGTTTGAGTTCATGTTTGAGGATCGGTTTATGTGAAGCGTGAAAATACACAAAAAGATATATTATGAGACTTTCATTGTAGGTGGAGCTAAATATGTCTAGCATGAAGATAGCTGATTTGATAGAATTTGAGTCAATATGGAGATTATTAGGGATAATGACTCAATTCTCACAAAAAATTTGTTTGAGATTGACCAGATATTGCTTGATAGATAAGAAGACTTACAAAAGAAGAATTCTAAGAGGAAATGAATTCTTAATAGGTAAGTTTGTATGATTATAAATAAGTAAAGTCTCTATAATGTTAGGCATGAGAAAAAGATATAAGAGAGTTGTAGAGTTTTATGGGATAGACATCTTATAAGAGTACTAGAGATTTACATCTTATGAGTATGTATGTTTGAATGTTTGAGAGTGGATTAGAAGAGATTGAGAGTGTCCACATAGGTATGATGAATGTGTACATATGTGTATGTGTTTGTTTATGTTGAAATGGTGCATAAGGATTTGTGTTTGTTTGGGTCAAAAATACTTTATAGGATTAGAAGAGATTGAGAATGTCTTATGAGTATTAATTGTTAAGTGCGATTGATGATTTGATTTGTATGTTTGTAATTCTCTATAACTAGTGAATATTTTTTTTTATCCGTAAACATAGGTCTGTTGGATCAAATCACGTTAAATTATTATCTTTATGTGATTAATTAATTGCTTGATAATGATTTCGCTAGTTTGATTAGATTGAGGTTTTTTGGCCTAACAAGTGGTATCAGAGCTGTGGTAATCCCTAACAAATGGTATCAAAACGAGATTTAAGGTTTAAGGTTTGTGGACCCAAGAGATCATGAAGCAGTGTTTCAAAATGTCTGAAGAAGGTATGTCTAGTATGCATATGCCTAAGTTTGAGATTATGTTATTTAATGAAAAAAGTAATTTTATGTTATGATAAAGTATAATTCAAGATCTGTTAGTACAACAAGAGTTTGATCAAACATTAGAGAGTAATAAGCCTATGAAAATGTATTGAAATAGGATTCAGAAGAAAGTTGTTAGTACTATTAGATTGACGCTAGCTCCAAAGGTAAAGTATAGTGTGTTGATTGAGAGTACTCCGAAGACTTTGTGGGATAAGCTTGAGGTATTTATGCATAGAAGTCGTTGACTAACAGATTATGTTTAAAGATGGATCTGTATTCTTTAAAGATAGAAGAAGATACGAGTCTTCATAATCACCTGAATGAGTTTAATAGATTAGTTTTTTAATTGTTGGTAATTTTTATTGTTAAGTTAAAAGATGAAGATAAGGCTTTAATTTTGTTGTCATATTTACCCAAATCTTATATGCCTTTAGTTCAGACTTTATTGGTGGGTATGTCTACTTTGAAGTTAGATGATGTGACTGTCTTGTTACATGAGAACGAAAAGATTTATGGGAGCTCAAAACTCATCACCTGAGGAGAATACACTAGCTGTAGAGGGTTTTGATCGAAGGATGACTCAAAAGAGAATTTATGGATCAAGAGAGAGATCTAAGTCAATAGATAGGGATTACAATGATATCAAATGTTATTATTATGGTGAAAAGGAATATATTCAAGTGCGCTGCAGGAAGCTGAGAAGAGATATTGTTGTTTTCAAAAGGGCGAGTGATGAGAAGAAATCAGATGAAGAAAAAAGTGATACTACTGCCATCGTGTTTGATGATGATGATGATGTTGTTTTGACGACTTATGTGGATGAGACTCAAACTTTAAAAGGTGATAAAGGTTGGATTTTAGATTCAGCTGCTACAGTTTATGTTTGCAATTATAGGAGTTGTTTTATGGAGTTGGATGAGAATGAAAAGTATGGAGATATTATGGTTGCCAATAACGAAAAGGTGTAGATTCAAGACATTGGGAGTGTTTGCCTTAGATCTCACAATGGTGTTGTTAGGACGCTTTGTCAGTATGTACCAAGTTATCATTACAATTTGATTGTTTTTGGTGAGTTAGCTTCTCGATGGTACACATATTATAGTAGTAATGATTGGTTGAAGATGTACAAGAATGGAAATGTGATTCTACAAGGGAATAAAGTCAAAAATCATTTGTACATACTTGATGAAGACTCAGTTGCTGGGATTCCTGTGATGAAAGAACAGAAAAAAAGTAAGCGTGTTAGCTTCGTAGATACTATTGAAGTATTTGGAGATTCAAGTTAATGGAAGATTTGCATTGAATCTCATATTCCCACATCGAAAGTTAGTAAGTTTTTTGAGTTTGTCTTGTATCCCACATCAGGAGTTTAGTAAATGTATAAGGGGTTTCACTCTTATAAATAAGATATTTTGGTTTTGGTTTGGTAGTCCCAAATAGTTAAACAACAAGAGAGTAGCTAGGTAAGTAGATTATTAAAATGGTGTAATTGGATTTTGAGTTAAGTTTAAGTAAGGAGTTTTTGGAAACTTTTATCATTCTAAAAGTATCACAATTATAAAGATTTATTTGATAATAAATTAAGTTTGGAGTATGCCATTTTGAGTTGGACCAAAACAAATATATTTGTGTATTTTTATTCTTGATTTGAGCTTGTTATTTGTGTGTTATTTTGTGTGTATATTCTACGTGTACGTGTTAATTTTTCTAATAGTCTGTAAAAACTCTGCATGTACGACAGGAGTTATATTATTTGAGATCTTAATAAATTCATCATAAATTTTTCTTGTGACAGCAAACTATATCCCGTCCTAAGGAGAAGTTCAAACTCCAGATAGAAGCGGAATCAAAATATACACTACAATTGAAACCTATAACTCATAACTGAACAATGCACACAGTAATTAACAAAATTATTGCTTCACTTTTATGGTTTACGTGTGACCTAATGCTTTTTCATCAAGTACTCATCAAGAGACGTGGGCAAGCTAAAGATATCCATTTCAGGTGTTTGTGTGCCTCTACTGCCAGCATCATTACAATCTCCATTGATTTCTTCTTCTTCTTCTTCTTCTTCTTCTACAATCGGAGATGAAAAGTCCAAGCACATTCCTTTTTATCAGTTCTTCATACGATGCAGATAGATCTTGGGAGGTCACTTGATGGTACTCTACTAGTTGGTGAAGGCACTGGTTTTCCCTGCCAGATTTGCATTTTCATTAGTTAGTCTGGATTTCTCTGCTAGAAGTGCTTCCAATTGAAGCCTCACCTGTTATTAATTTAAATTTGGATCAGAACTTGACAATGTGCTAAATAAGAAAAAAAAATTTTCAACTTAATTGAATAAAAAACTTACCAGATCATTTCCTTCAAAAAAAAAAAAAATATCAGATCATCTTCCTTAGGTCAGATACTCACGGTGAATCCATCTCGAATCCTTCTGTTCTCTTCCCCAAGCAAACCGCATCGCTCTTGCATAAAACATAAATCAGATTTTATGGGCTTCAACTCTCTGGCAAGTGAAGCATCTTTGTTTGCCATGGAAATTGCAAACTGCAAAATAGAAAGAAAGAGGGTATTTTTTACTTTCTTCATGATCTTGTTTTTGTGGCTTTGCTCATTCTCCTTTTGTGAATCATCTCCTTTATTCTCATCTGAGCACTCAATGGAATCAAATTTCCTCTTCAGACCTATCTTAATGTTTTTTACGATTCGTTTTTGTTTTGGTTCTTCCTCTTTATCATCTGAGTTCTTCTGGTTACCATGAAATATATCTTTCAATGTGAGAGGTTTAGCTAATTTTATTCATTTTTGTTTTGGGTCTTCCTCTTTACCCTCTGAGTTCTTCAGGTTACTATGAAATATATCTTTCAATGTGGGAGGTTTAGCTAACTCTCGGGCTCCTTAAAAACAGAGCAAACAGAAAACAGTAACTTCAGCAAGTTTGCAAATTTCTTATAGAGCTACAAAACTAAAGTTAATCTCATTATTATAATTTAAAGCGCGATTTGATTTAAATTTGAAGTAGAATTGATTTAAATGACTGAAGAGCGTTATCTAGATTGTTAGATAGCCAAGAAAGATTTCGTGAGATGGAATCAAACCCTCTTAGCATAAGCAACGAATCCTCCTTCAATCGCTTAGCTCTGTTCGATTCTCCTGAACTCTGACCAAAATATTACAACAAAAGCCTTGTTAATTCAACATCAATCCCGGAAGCCAACTTTCATAGCATAGCAATTAGCTTCAAAAAGCTGAAGAATAAAGAAAACTTACAATCTGTGGAGGCAAAGGTGGATCAGCATTGTGTAAGAGGGAGATCTTGGCATTCCGATCATCGATGAGTGCATCGACCCGGGTAGGCAGGGTGCTCCAAAAACGCTTGTCTGAAGCTGGACTGAAGAGAGGAGATGAAGAAGCCATCAAGCTTTTGGGCTCCTATTAATGTATCCAAACCAAAGAAAAAGATGTATTAGAAGAAGGGGTGAAAAAAAAAAAGAACACTCCATTAAAGCTGAGAAGACGGGGGAAAAAGGGTAGAAAAGGAGAAAGAACCTTGGCGGGATGAGGTGGAGATAAAGTATCAACTGAAGAAGATATCGGAGAAGAGCAAAAAGAGAGAAAGAAGCAGAGTAGGTAAGGGTAACGGCTCCTTTATGAGGGAGTCCTTGATTCTGGGAATTTAAAAAAGGCCACCGACGGGGACTGATATATCAAATTTATTTTTTTGCCGTCATCTCCCTGAAAAAGTTGGTCTACTCTTTTTTTATTAGATCAGAGTTCGTTTGTCAACGCGCCGAGTATGAACGTGTAGAGAATCGAACGGCTCTGGTTTCTTGATGGATTTGGAGGTCCAGCAGGACGATTTGACGTTGGTGTGGGGATTTAATTAATTCTCATTGGTTACATAAATCTGTACCTGAATTAATTCTCATTAAAAAATCACATTAGTTAATTTTCCATTTCCATGTTTAGCATATCATTTAACCACAATTCTAAAATCACCCGAGAAAATAACTGTAACAAATGTAGGGACCCACAGTCACCTTTTATCTAGAACAAAAAAAAAAAAAAAAAAGGAAAAAGATTGCTGGTTCTGAAACAAGCACAAAAAGTAACGGTCAATGGCTGCTCTTGCTTCCTCATCCTCCTCTCTCCTCTTCTCTTCTCCACCTTCCAAGCTTCCTTCACCTTCTCTCCATCCTCTTCCACGCTTGTCTCTTTTCACTTCCTCATTTCTCTCTTCTTCTTCTTCCTCTCTTTCCGTTTCACCTTCTTTCTTTGCCTATCCCACAAGCTCTAGAAGATGCTCTTCCTTCACTGTCAGGGCCAGAGCTGGGCAAGAAGAAGGTCCTTATAGTTAATACAAACAGTGGCGGCCATGCGGTTATTGGTTTCTACTTTGCAAAAGAGCTTCTGGGTTCGGGCCATGAGGTCACCATCTTGACCGTTGGAGAAGAGGACTCAGATAAAATGAAGAAGCCTCCGTTCAACAGATTCTCTGTAAGATCAAAATACCCCTTGTTTTATGGTTTTTGTAATCATTGATTTCTAATTTGGAGTTTTTCTTTTTCTTTTCATTAATTTGAACGGGATTTGAGAATGTTTATAGGAAATTGTGAGTGCTGGAGGGAAGACGGTCTGGGGAGACCCGGCAAATGTTGGGAAAGTTGTTGCAGGGGCAACATTTGATGTGGTGTTAGATGACAATGGCAAGGACTTGGACACCGTGAGGTTTGTTGCGTTAATTCCGGAAACTCATCCTAATTTAGGAGTCCTATGATCATTTCAATTATGTATTATATGCTATATAGACTTGGCAGATATGGCAAGTTCTAAGCGTTCTGTGAGTCATACTTGGATCCAAATATTTATTTGTTCTTACAATTTGCATCCAAATTTTGAATCAGTTTCTTGCACTAGATTTCCTTCAAAATTGAGACTCAAATTTCATATATAGAGATTAGTGTGTGTGCACACGGGCGGGCATGCAAACCTATTGAACCAAGATCTTATAGGAAAGAAAAATTAACAATCATTAGACTCAAGAGAAGGAAAGTAAGAAATTGTATACCTGCAAAAAGTTTAAATCATTTCGTTTTATGGCAAAAAGAAAAAGGCAGTTCATTCTAATTTCAATTTTCTCACGTAGGCCAGTGGCAGATTGGGCAAAGAGCACTGGAGTGAAGCAATTCTTGTACATCAGCAGTGCTGGTATTTATAAGCCCACTGACGAGCCTCCTCATGTTGAAGGGGTATAATACAAATGCGTTTTTAATGCCACAAGCACGATTAACATTACGGGATCTACTCAAGCAAAATCTTCATTATTGCAGGATGTTGTTAAAGCTGATGCTGGCCATGTTGGAGTTGAGAAATACATTGCAGAAATTTTCAGTAGTTGGGCAATATTCCGGCCACAATACATGATTGGATCCGGAAACAACAAAGACTGTGAGGAGTGGTTCTTTGATCGTAAGTGAAGCAATCTTCTGAACTTCTTATGATCCATAGAATAATTTCACCATCAGATATTTTGACATGGATCGGAACTCCTATTGCCATAAATTCTTTTAAGGCTTCATTCTGTCTCAGTTTTACTTGCTATCCTTGTTTCTTATGTCCTAAAAAGTGTATGACGTTTCTTAACAGGAATTGTTCGAAAGAGGCCAGTGCCCATCCCTGGTTCAGGAATGCAACTTACAAACATCGCCCATGTTAGGGACTTGTCCTATATGCTTACTTTAGCTGTTGAGAAACCAGAAGCTGCATCTTGTAATATATTCAATTGTGTGAGCGACCGTGCTGTGACTCTGGATGGAATTGCCAGATTATGTGCTCAAGCTGCTGGCTTACCAGTTGAAATTGTTCATTATGGTCCAAAAGCTGTTGGAATTGATTCAAAGAAAGCCTTTCCTTTTCGTAATATGGTAATGATATTAATTTCTTAAGCTGAGCATACTGTTTTTCAAGCAAAAAATTGATTTCACTGCAACAAGGGAAACCGTTTGATATAAACCTTAGGTTATCTTCATCTCGAGTCCACCGATTAATGTGAAGTCCATACAGTCGTCTAACTTCTGATCTAGGGCTGATGCAAACTGTAGTATAATCACCACATCCTTTACCGTGCAGCACTTTTATGCCGAACCAAGAGCTGCAAAGGACATATTAGGGTGGAATGGCACCACAAACCTTCCAGAAGACTTGAAGGAGCGATTCGATGAGTATGTAAAGATCGGGCGAGACAAGAAACCTATGCAATTCGAGATAGATGATAAGATACTGGAGTCCCTTAAAGTTCCAGTGGCCGTTTGATCAACCACAAGCAAGTGGCATTTTAAACTCGTACCAGTCCATTGTACAAGAATGAATGAGATGCGTAGGTTGTGTTTCTTCCCCTCGCATGTCAGCTCTACGTTATATATTCATTTCTTTTCATAATAAATAAAGCTAGGGAGAAAGTAACACCTGCCTTAAATTAACCATTACTTGCTATTTCATATAGAATCTCAGAAAGCATTTGAGAAAAAATTGCATAATAAACCATTGAAGCAGATGACTGCTGTATCCCAAGTACATTACAGCTACAACTAAAGGAATTATAACATGCTGTCCAAAAAGTACGCTTCTGAGTAAAAGTTTTAACTAAATCCAGCTTCGAGATAAAAAGAGCTACATCTATTAAACTCAGGATGTTCCCATATCTGACTTTGAGGAATTAGTCTTCACAAACCTAACCTACAATGGGTAGACTTACCACACTATTGTTGCAGCTAGACTAGATTTTGTAATAAGCAAAATGAAAATAGAAGACTCCTTAGATGATTTTCAGCCAAATGCCACAAGAACAGCATACATACATAGCATGACTATTCTCCTTGCTCGATCTTGAGATCCTTGAGCTTGGATTCCAATTCATTCTCATTTTCTGAATTCTCCTCTTCCTCTTCCTCAAAATCTTCTCCTTCTGGATCATTCTCGTCCAAAGGACCAAGCATATCAGGAGAACTTTTAAATAGTTCCTTCACCTCATCTATCCCTTCATCAGATATGAAATTTCCATTGATATTCAGCAACTTAAATCCAGGTTTTTTCACAACCACCTGGGCCAAAAGCTGTGCCCCAGCTCTCCTAATGGCATTTGTGCTCATATCAACTTCATTCAACTGACCATGACCCTCTCCTAATGCCTTACCAATCAAAATAGCACCTTCATCCTTAAGTTCATTCTCAGACAGGTTTAATTTTGTGAGGAATTGTTTTGATGCAATGCAGGCTGCTAAAGAAGCTGCACCTTTGGCTGTAATATCATTTCCAGCCATTTCCAAAACTTCAAGTGAAGGTGCAGACTCATTCATAGCATTGGCAAGTGCCTCTGCCCCCTCATCCTCCAGGTTCAAATAACTGAGGTAAACCTCAGTAAGATCAGAAAACAGAGAGAGCGCCTTGCTCAAAGCAACCCCAGCTTCCACACCAAACATGTTGTCACGCAGATCAAGCTTCTTTAAATGGATACATGTCTTTAGTGCTTCAGCAAGAGCAACACCACCATCAGTGCCAACTCTTGTAGAAGAACACCGGAAATCCTCCAATGCATGGGAGCGTCTCACAATCTCAGAGACAGCAATTGCACCTTCGTCCCCTGTCATGTTATTGTGAAACTGAAGAACTTTCAGCTTCTCAGTAGAAGGAATTAGCTCAGAAACTGCTCGTGCAGCTTCTTCTGAGATACCATCATTCATCAAATAAAGTTCCTCCAAATTATTTTGTGATTTCAGAAGTGCCCCAAATGCCCGGACACCCTTTTCACCTAAGGCATTGTTTGACAAGTTCAGGTACCTCAAGTGACAGCCTTCTAGGACTGAAGAAAAAATATTCATGACTTCAAGGGCTTCCGACTCTGACCTTCCAGCAATAAGATCTGAAAGGTCTACCTCTGTTAATTGATCTTTAATGGATGACAAGATGGGCGCAGCAACATTTGCTGCATCCAAGCCAAAACTTCTGTTGCTAAAACATATCCTAGTGTAGGAATTTCCTGGCTCCCTAAGTGGTTTTAAAAGGTCCTCAGCCTCCCCTGCATCTATAAATGCCCGGCAACCTCCAGATATATCAAAGACAGTTTCATGAAGAGCAGTAGTTTTATCTGCTATCTCTCCATCCTTTACTGAAGGGCCTCTTTTAATAACTTCCAGCATCAGCCTACTGGATTCTTTGGCATATATTTGGACTGCAGAACTTCCATCACCATCAGGTTCCTTCTTGTAGTGTTGATCTGCAGCAGCAAAAGCTATCTTTTCTATTTTCTTGGCATCCTCCTCAGCCTCTTCATTACTTAGTAGGCCATACTTTCTAGAGAAAATGGATGGAGTTGTAAGATTCTTGGTCATCCGCTCCACAAGCATTAGCCTGGTACTATGACTAGGTGGCCACAATTTCACTGACAGGGAACGGTGTTGGAAACTTTGTGTTGCAGATTCCATGTTTAATTAACCTAGGACCATTACATATTGCAAACACATTATAACAAAACCACGATAAATGTTAGTGCATAAACAGGATGAAGTACGAGTTAGCTAACCATTTGAATTTGATAGCCAAAGAGATTTGTAACCATTGCTCAAAATTATATACCATAATTTCAGAAATGTAGCATTATAATCATCCCAGTTGAACTGCTGATTGCTCAATATTTTTCATGCCACAACCTAAAGCTAACAGCCCACTTAGCAAACACAATTCTTATGTGAACAGCATCTACATATAATTTAGGTGCATGTAATATTAAATGAAACAAAACAATTAATAAAGATGAAATGAAAAAATAAAGGACCCATAGGTGCAACAAAAAATTAAATGAGCAATCAAGGAGGACTGCTAATTAAGCAACTATTCTTACAAGAAGTAAATGTACAACATCATGAAACCATAAGTTTAACTGCAATACCTAAAAAGGGCATAGAAAGGATATATTTTAAAAATCAAGATCTCAACAATTTTGTTCCACTTATAAAGACTCTAATTTACAAATCAATCTCTCATGAGCATCAACCATGTTTGTGCTATGAAAATCTAACATGATAATCTATTAGCCAATTACTACTAACAACTTTTGCAACTTTTGCGAGAAATAACCAGAAGCAATCTTATTTAATTGTAACTAAAGCAGCAAGGCATCAATTCCATCGAAGATTGCTTCAATAGAAGCAATTACCAAAATAATGTTACTAGTAGATGATAGAATGGGGCCATCAAAAGATTGGACAAATGGATAAGCATTGTCAAATGATAGCAGAGTAGCAAATCCTAGATGCCACAAGCCAGGATTTTGATGGAATGACCAAACAAGGCAACACTAAAGACAATGCTAATTCTGGAGGAAAGTTGATAATGTTATGTTCCCTTGACCATTTTTGCTTGAAACTAACCAATATACAAACTTGGTTATCACTCTAGATTGACTATATATTTGTTCCATAAAAATTTTTAATTGAAACATCTTGCAAAGATGTTAAAACCTTTGCTTCTGGTAACAGATCGATCACCCAATCAAAAAAATGAGACTTTAGGTTCTTTGGCATGCCTGGGGTGTAATAATAATACAATCCTTCTTCCCAAATTCTTTAATTATAGAGCAAATCACTTATACCAAAAGTCATTGCAAGTCTATTTCAAATAAATGCAGTATTTGTCTTACAATGCCCCCATATAATATAATAATTATAAATAAAATTCTCCCCAAGCTCCAACATCTTCTGAGCAGTAGGAATAATACACCTAAAAACTGCTTATCAATTATTTTCAATCAAAAGCATAAACTAAAGATATCTGAAATACGCCATAGTTTGTTATGAGATCAAATGGAAATGAAGTTAAACGTCAACTAAACAAATAAAACTGAGAAAATAATGGGAAAAAAGATATAGTTTATAAGGGAAACACAAAAAAAAAAAAAAAAGAATAGTGCTCGAAAACCCTAAAATGAATATCCACAAAATTACTTGTTTCAGAATAGATTGCTTATACATAAATTTAAATAATCGTTCAATTTCTTACCTTACCTGTAATAACACCTGCTTTTAGCAAATAAAATTTGAAATTGGATCCTGCAGCAGCCGGTTCACCAAGAATCTGAAACCAAAGAAAAAAATCCAATATTTATCCACTCAGTTTTTAAGTTGTTTGCAATTCGATATTCTATAAAACGAAACGAGAAAAAAACCTTATATAAAATAAAGAACTATAGAAGAAATGAAAACCCTAGACTTCAAATTTCTCGAGAAACAAACGAAGAATAAGAAACCCTAGAGTGGAAAAAGAGAGATGAGTTCGATTAAGTGAGAGAACTAAATACCTTCTGTTTTTTTCTTTTTTTTTTTTTTCGTTTCGGAAGTTTTGGTATTGAAAAAAGAGTGGGTGAGATAGGGAGAGGGGTTGTTTTAATAGTGAAGAGTGCTGCAGAGAAATTATGAGACTGGTGAGCAGAAAAATCAGAAGTGCGCATGCGGGAATTGGAGGGAAATTATAGTGTTTTTTTTTTTTTTACTTAAAAACAAAAATTGTTATTTGGTACTGGGGAGCCAAAAGGTGCGTAGCATTTACGCTTTCGATTTCAATGTAAATTATTAATTAGCCCCTGGTTTATTTTGCCCTAAACAGTTCTGGGCTTTCTTTTGGGCTTCAGCCTTATCTTAAGGTTTGGGCCTATTTTTGGATTTTTGTTTGAAAATAAATAATTTATCTTTACATGTAAATGGTAAAAAAAGTGTGCTATAGAGAGTTCTTGTGATTAGAGAGGAATAATTTACATGTAAACTGTAATTCCTATACATATTGAGATAAAGAGTACAAATTATAGCAAAGGCTGCAAAATTGAAAGCCCAATCTTACACTACATGAATCTATATTTTCAATTTGCAGTTTTAGGCCATTCACAAAGTCACCGGCAGCATCTCCTCTATTTAATCAATCCTGTTAGAATATCATTTCCACTAATATAAAGCTGTATCCTCTCTATGGCACCTCATTTTTCCCACATCAAAATGCCATAAGTTTCTGATGTTTGTTTCTAATAGCTGGTGTCAGAGACATACATTGAACATCATTATCTGGGAGGTCTCTCCAGTGCAACCCAACCAAACTTCCCTTTCCGAAAATCAGACAGGACACGGAATGCTGCTTGGTGGACATCCCCATTGAACAAGCGAAGGGCTACCTTCTCAATAAATCTGAAATTCAGAAAATGAACAACCAAATCAATCTGGAATTCATGAAAAAGGAAATGTATGGGTGGCTTTTAACTCCATGGAAAGCTTCCTAATAAAACCCAAATCATGTCCTTTTTCAGTGTGCATATGACAGCTTTTCGTTTGCTTATTATGGCATGGGTTGCTTATTCATTTGGTTGGCTTATTCTTCCTGATTGGGCTTTAGGAAGCTTTTCCAGATCATCAGATCATTTTATCAAGTTACAATGAGCCAGATTAAGTCGTACATTTTACCACACTGAACATCCACATCGACCTTGTAGCGGTTTTCAAGAGCTTCCATCCCTGGCAAGCACAAAACTAAAATTAGTTAGCAGCAGCTGATTTCAGCTAAAATTTGGAAGCTTGAGATCCAGTCATCAATTGTTGTAAACTGTGAAAGAGCCTCAAGGAAAAATGTAAAGAACTAAAAATTTTGCAATTAAGAATTGCTATCAACTAACCAACCAAGAAATTCCCTTGTTTATACCACACTGTTTATAGTGCACTGTTTCCACTGCCTAGAATAAGCAACAGTTTTGGACAAACATACACCCCCAATCTATCTGTTTCAATAAACAATTTAATACTACCAACCCTTACTCTAGCTCCTTGTACAGGGTTGATGTCTATGAAGAAAATAACTACAAGATTTTTACTTACTGAAAATCAATCTTTTTCCCTTCTTTTTCTTAAAATCCACATTATATATGGCATAGGAAAGGCTACCATCAGCTTATTCACAAAATTCTTTGAGGGAGGAAAAATATGCAAAATGCATCCGCTTTATCCCTCCTGAAAAAAGGAACAAGGAAAAAGAAGTATGTCGTCATGCTGTGAAATGGCACCCTATTGAGATACCCTGTCCCGATTTTGGACCTCTTTTATCCTCTAACGTCATCAGTTCAGCTTCCCACAGCCGTTTAAAGTCCCATGTATTTAATGTTCATTACACCATCTTCATCAAGAAAAAAAAAGGTAAACCACTTTTCTCAAAAATTAGTAGTTCTTTGTTCTCACCATCCATAATTTTAAACAATATAATTATACCACACAAGTTATTATCAACTCTCTTTCACTAACATAAAAGATGCCAATGCTAACCAGCCTTTCAGTTTATTACTTTGCAATATGTGATGCAAACTGAAATTGTGTAGTAAAATTCAGTTTGACAAGGAAGTCCTAGCTTTGAAACTAGAGTGCTTTCTTGACAGATGGGGAAAAGAAAAGCCATTAAATGACTAAAACATTATGCATAATACATAATTACATACCTACTGTTGGAAGCTTTGCTAATATCTGCACAAGAATGGCTGCAACATCAGCAACATCATAGGACCTCTCTCCAATGTCATCACAAATGGCAAGCTTTATTGCAGCTGCTTGATCACTAATTCGCATTGGAAGTATTCCAGGAGAGTCCAGCAACTCAAGATCTTTCCCAAAGTGAACCCACCTTTCAAAGAAGTAAAAGAGATAAACAGATGAGTAATTCCTAAGCTGCTTTATCATGCCAAGCTTAAACGAAATTTGGAAATTTTGCTTTGTCACCACAAAAGAAAAAGCTGTTCTATTCAGATGGAATGAAATACCAGAACTCTTTAATTCTGAAACTCTTATAGATATTTATCCAAGAAAAGTAATCATTATAGTATAGAATTAAAATTCAAACAAAATCTCTAACCATTGAAAAATTGTAAAAGAAAACCAATATTATCAACAATGACAAAAGTCTGAATTTCTTAGGATTTCACAGTGCAAGATTAGAGCTTTTCAAACTTTTTTATAATGCTCTGCTTTTTCAAACCCTCACCCCTTCCCCTCCTTCATAACCGTTTCACATCTATAGAACAGGAAAGAAACAAAAACCACCAGAAAACATACTTCAGTTCTCTTGTAACACCAGGTCTAGGAGCAGCTGGACACAATCTTCGTTTCAGCAAACGGTTGATCAAAGATGATTTCCCAACATTCGGATACCCAACTATTCCAGCTCGAACCTGGACGATAATATAAAAAGCATCAAGTATATTAACATTTAATATGAAGCTCTAATATGGGTTCAGCGCTGATATCTTTCCACAGTAAAACTAATCTGACCAATGATATAGGCCCGTAAAAAGATTATCTAAACAATTCTACCATTTCTAGAGACCTAATTCATACAACTCCGGTAAGTGCTAACTACCTGTTCAAAACTCATCAAAACTGGTACTTAGACATATAAAAGTTGTAAAAAATCCTGATCCATACTTACATTAAAGTTTAGAAATATAAATAAACAACAGAGAACACTTGCGAACTGCAGTGAACCAAAGAAACAAAGACACGACTCAAGAAGGAAGAAACAGGCAAGCTATCAATGCAGTGAAACTCACCGGACGAGGAAGGAGTCCTTTGGCTCTGCGTTTAACATTTACACCTGCTGCTAAAGACTTTGCCAACCGACCTAGCTTCATAGTCCCCTGTGTTTGCCAAATTTAGATAAGTTACTTTCCAATGCTCAAACTACAAAAGAAAAAGCTCGACATAGAATATCTTATTCGAATACCATTCCAAGTTGCCCATTCGAGAAGACGACCTTTATTCCCTGCCTTGAGAAATACATCGCCCAAGCATTCCTATCTCCAGTGGATATCATGTCTTCTCTGTTTAAAACTAAAACCCTCTTTCGATTACCGAGCCATAAATCCATCTGTGCTCATTGCAAACTCAGAAAAATAACAAGTTAACACAAGCAGCCAAAAGTAAATCGGTAATTCTACCAAATACGAAATAAAATAACCAAATGACAGAAAAAAGCTAACCTGTGGATGAGTAGTAGACAAAGGAATTCTAGCATCTCGCACTTCTATAACAACATCCATCAACTTGAGTTGTTCTTTTAGTTCTTTTTCTGTTTTTGCAATATGACCAGGATACCACTGTACCATTTGCCAAAACACCCAATGCCCAAAATGGAAAAATCATTTTAAGGCTCATCAGAAATTTAATCAAAATAAAACAACCACCAAGGCACCAACTTGTACCTGGACTGGACGCAGTGCCCTGGTCCAGTAGTAAATATCAGCATCCATTTCAGCCCAGTCAATTTTATCTTCAACCGCGTCATGGACACTCTCATTTTCACGCCACCTCGGAGTTTTTCCACCGACAATCTGCAATGTTTTGGAATAATTTAATCTTATAAAGAAAAGGAAAACATGAAATCATGGATTAGTTTTGGGAATAAATAAGCTTGCCTGGATGGTGGGTGGAGGCGAGGAGAGAGAAGCGGCGGCTGAGATACCTGTTTTTATAGGAGAAAGTTTGGGGTTTGGGTCAGAAGAGGTTCGGCGTTGAATGCAGTGAGTGGGGATTTTCGGACAGGGTAACCACAGTCCTGATAGCTGTACGGTCATCTGCGTTTGTCTAGAGAGCTGCTCTTTAGTTTGAGTTCCGTCTAGATAAGTTTGGAAAACTAACTATTTTCTTAGCTTATCGGACGAATTGTTGACTGTCAAAGTGAAGATTTGCCCAACACAATGGTTAAAAAAGATTTCTTCCAAAACTGTAATTTCGTCCGCCCTTAATTTGCTTGTTCTCGGCGGAATAGTCGATAAGGAGAAATGTTTAAATTGGTTGGTGGTAGGCAGAGGAAGAACCGAGGAAAGAAGATAACGAGTGAAATGGATTAAGAACCTGTAAAAATATCTTTTTTTTTTAAAATGTAAATTACACTGTGCCTTACTTTTTTTTCCCTTTTTTTTAATTTTTGCCAAGAAATAAAGATATTTTGGGGAAAAAAAAAAGAGAAAAAATTATCCGGTTACATTTTCTGCTATTTCTGTATTTTTTTTCTCCTCTCTCTCTATCTCTTGTATTTCTAGCAATATATGTTTGTTTCTCGGGAGAATAATTTGGGCCGGGGGAAATCACGGGGGATTAGGGTTTTTTTATGGCTAAAAACTTATCCCACGGTCGATACCAAAATGAGGAACGAAATTGATATGCATAAAACCCAAAAGATAAGCATTTTATACAACTAAAAATAAACTAATTTGTGTACATAATTTAAAAAATGAAATGGAATTAAATGGGTAATTGAACTAACCTGTACAAATCTTCTAAAAAGAAAGAGGAGTTTTGGTGAAATTTTGAGAGACTAATACAGAAAAGCGCAGAGATAAAGACTGATCTTTTCACATTCACTGCTTTGCTCTGTTAATCAATAATCGTTTTATCTTATCTCAATGCCAAATTATGGTCAAACGTAATATAAAAATTTCTACCATGTCAAATCAGGTAAACTATTAAAGGTCTTCTTTGGGTCTCAACACTAAATCAAAGAATGAAAGATTTTCATTAATCAGATTAAGAGCCAGCTGCAGCATCTTTTTGCTACCGTACAGTTGATCTCACTTTTGTGCCTTAACTAGGCATTTAATTGAAACAAGCCTCCCTGTCATGAGGTCAAAGATCAAAGATGCTATCTAGTGGACAATTTCAACTTTCAACTGTGCGAAAATATGTAAAGAAGTATCATTTGAAACTTTAGCATCCCCGCACAAGCTCTCCAAAGATCGTGGAGATTCTTTTCCTTGTTCTTAATCTATGGAAGAAATAGAATGTGTGGGGTGGTATCGCAATCAAAGAATTGGGCCTTAAGACTAAATCAGGAGGAAAACCCAACTTTAATTGAAACTAAACAGGGCAGGCCCAATATGTATTCAATTCATACCCAACCTTGCCCAATAATACTCTTTTTAATGGTAATTTCTTATAAGACAAAAGAATCATTCATGAGAATCTTGCAATTGCCAAAGGCAAAAATAATAATTATTATAATGGTAACAACATAGGCATACGGTAGGAGTACCACAAAGAGCCCTTCACGATGCACAAAAAACCTGAAAAAGTAGTTGTCGGCGGGGTAAACAATTAATGCTAGAAAAATGGCTTAAGAACCTTTCCGTGGAGTCTCTTCCAAGGACATGGCCCGCTTTCAGATTCTCATAACAGCGCATTTGCTGCCATTTTTAATTGCTAAACTGTCTTGTCCTTTCTCTCCTCCTTTTATGAGATATATCTCCTTCTAAGTCTCGTCAACCTCCCCTCCACCCCCCGAGTAGTACTGCAGTCCCCAATTCTCTTTCTTCCCGCATGAAAATGACAAAAAAGTCAATCATATCGAACCATTCGGCAGATGCTTGTCTTGAAAAAATTTAAAAGGATTTTGATAATTTATATATTTATATTATATAAAATATTCATAATTATATATTTTTTATTATTATAAAAATTATATTACTAAAAATATTTTTATTAAATATATATACTCATTTTAACGGGTGTTATTTTAAATTGTAAAAAAACTATAGTTATTTTATATGTATATATAAATTTTATATATTAGTTAGCTCATTGACTTGCACGTGACTGGTACTGTCCCGAGTCACCTGTCACCAGTACTGGAGCCACACTCTCGTTCTAGCAAGTGCCTAAAAAAAAACTCGCAAAACAACTATTATTAGAATTGTTTGTGCCGCTGCTCGCTAAGATACAATCAGATCAGCTTAATTTTGGGGGATTTTTATATATTATATCGGGTTAGTTGTGGTCTATGCTGCATTAATTTGTTTTATCACCAGATTATTTTGAATCTAGATACTCCTTATAGTTTGACTTAAATGCCAGCTGGGTTGAGACCCAAAAGATCTTTCCAGTCAAACCACAACCTGTTCACATGTTTTTTCTACGTCTAATGTAACTCTTAAAAAAGGGTTAATTAATCCATTGAATATTATGGTGTGGAAATGAAGTAAATTCGGGAGTTGGTGTCCGAATCGTGCAATTGATGAAACCAAAACAAAATCTAGTTTCGATCGACTGTGCATATGGGATTGCTCGAACCACGATCCGCCGCCCCCACATGGGTGCCAAGTGCTGCCGTGTGGTGAACTTGGGGACATAAACTAAGGATCCAATACATGTTATTCAGAGGGGATATCTAATCAGTTTCTTCTGTAAGGTTCTCGCAGTACTACTGCCAATTCCTTAATTTCAGCAATCTCAGGATTCTATGAACGGAATAACTTGTTTAATCGGATTTCCAAACGGCATTATATTTATGACCTATTTTGTTCATGAGTTGACATCTCGAAAGTTGAAACCACAGAATTATAACGATGCCAATTTTTACCATTTTGTTTTCCTCATTATACCCATACGTGCCATATCCCTGTTTACTTTCTTTGAACAGGAATACAATAATTGGATGCACACAATAAAAAAAAATTAAAGAAATTTCTGCATACATAGAAATCAGCAATCATTTTTATTATAGGTTTTTTTAACAATCCACTATGACATGGCCATATTGGCTAGTATATATTTTCCCCTGCTTCTTTCCATGCATGGTTAGCACATGTATTTTTGCAACTTACAATAGGAAATTAAACTGATTGGAAGAAGCACGAAAAGGGAGTAGAACGGTGAAACCTCAATCGGAAATTATATATGTACAATAGAAAAAGCAAAAAATGTGGTTTCCAGCGGTTCTTGTTTTACTTATTGTTTTTCATCTCAAGTTTTTGTGGAATCTCGTGATACTCCCAACGAATTAATACTGCAAAATCCCCATCTACCTAGCTAGCTTTTACATAACTTGGGTTTTCCACTTTCCACCCTTTCCGTCGACACAGAAACTAACAAAAACCCCAACAATGGATTCCCACAACAAAATAGATTTCCAACTTCTGAATGCAATGTTGCCCGTGTATGCCTACAGTTTTCATTCGGTGGCAAGTCACTTTCTCCAATTTTAAGATATTGTTTTTCTTTACTTTAATCAGTACTAAACTTCAAAAAAAAAATTCTACCGATTCTTGATAAGCTAAAGTGGGTTAGGAACAGATCCAAAAAATATGCTTTGCTTGATTGATCAATTATGAATTAATGCGTTTCTTGGGTACGGTACGTATGAATCCGACGGTCAAGAGAAAGCTAGCATAAACGTTGCACGTTACATATGTTTGGTGATTATTCCTACTGAAATCGTGAAGTAAAAGGGGGGAAAAGAAAAATGCATGTAGTATTGTATTATAAAGACAGTTTTAATTAATTATTTCGTCGTTATTGTGTACGAAGAAGAAGACAAGGGGAGAGTAGCAATGAGAAAGTTAACCCAAGGAGACAAGATCTTATCATAATCACTCTATAATCTATAAAAAGTACATAAGCATGCACACATCTTATGGAGCAATAAGAAAGAGAGAGAGAGAGGGCGCACACGTGCGCATGAGAGATGTGGAGGATACATGGCGGAATGGGCATTATTGTTCCCAACTAGTGCTTCTTAATTGCTGCTTTATGTTACCATCAAGAGTCTCCAAATAAGTTAGAATAGAAAATGTCGTAACGATTTTTCGTTCCAAGGATTGGATTGTTAGATTTGATAAAAAAATTTTGGAGTCGTTATTAAATTTTATAGGTTGTAATTGATTATCAAAAATATTATTTTTTAGTAAAAATTTTAAAATTAATTAAAAATTATTAAAAGAAATTTAAGTTTGTAAAATCAAATTAGGTCTGAAAATATGATTACGAGTGAGGAAAGTATTAGCATTATCAAGTTACTCGTTTGAAGAACGATATCAATTAAAAATGTGTAATCCTTTAATTTTCATAATACGATCTTTTTTTATTTAAAATTAATTTATTGAAATTTATTTAAAAATATATTTTTTGTAAAATTAGTATTATTTTTTTTTATTCTATAAATTCTCCAACGCTTTGACGAAATTTATAGAGAATCACTATTTAGAAAATATTTTGAGAAAATTGACCATTCACAAAATTCTCGAAATCTCGTCACAAGATATTTTATTTATTTGTTTTTAAAAAAATTAAGAACATCCCGACTCTTTGGTGAGTTCTCAAAATTTATTAAACAAACTTTACAATTATTTTGACTATTCGATGAAATCCTAAAAATTTTGAGCAAGTTTTAGGATTATTTCAACTTTTTAACAAGATCATAAATAAAATCATTTTTTTATAATTAAAGGAATTTATTAATTAATTTTGTTATGATTATTTAAAAAAACTTTTTATTATTTATTAATTAATTTTTATTATAAAAAAATTTATATTATCCCGACTCACTGGAGAAATATAAATATTTATATCTTGCTCGTATTAAAGAAAATCGAACTCTTTTAATTTTTTATTTAAAAAAAATTCAAAATATTAATTATTATTTTTTATTTTCATTTTTATTTTTTTACATTGTCTAAATCAATTTTTATTTTAGTAAAAATAATTTTGGATTATCCCAACTCTATGGTGAAATATGAAAAAATTATTTTTACTTGTAATAATTAAAGAAACTAAACTCTTTTAGCTTTCTTTAAAAATTACATTTAAATGATTCAGTTAAACAATTTATTTTTATTTTATTTATCATTTTTATAATTTATTATTTTTTTAGTAAAAATTATTTTTTAAATTATCCCAACACTTTGGAGAAATTTAAATAATATTTTTGCTTGTAATAAAATTTTATTTCATTTAAGTAGTTGTTCTTATAAAAAATTTTATTTATATTTTTTTAGGTCTTTATTTTATTTCACTTTTATTTTTATTCTATTTATTTATTTGTTTTTAAAAAAATTATTATTAGTAATAATATAAAATAACAATAATAATAATAACAATATCATAAAAAAACATAAAAATCAACATAAAAAAATCAAAAATCAAATCAAATCAAAACGAAAAATAAAAAGAAAATGAAAAGGAAAAACCCGTGAAACGGGTCTGGTCGGCGTCAGTGTCGGCGCGCAGATCCCGCGTGAGTGGGGTTTAGTCTGGACGCCCAAAACGACATCGTTTTGGATGGCCTATAAAAATGCCTGTTTCAATTTTTTTTCTTTCCCCTCTCTCTACCCTAGAGCCCATCTCTCTAAAATCCCA